TGTGTGTGATTATGGCAAAGCCTCGAGGCTATCTGCAAAGAGGGATGCCTTCGTGGAGGACTTTCTCAGGGAAAACTGGCTCGTATACACGTTACACATGGGGAAAACCACGAAAAACGCCCATGCAGCCAGCCCGTTCGCGGGATTCGAACCTCGGACCGAACTACCATGTCGCGCTTACCGCTCGGCGCTGGTGGGCCGTTGAATATTAAATGGCAAAAACTCTTGGGTGTTGTACAATATGCCAACGAGGGACAAAACGTTAATACTATATTCAGAAAATAATACTCAAAAGCTGGCATGAACCACGTCTGCATTACGTTATTACGCTGGTTACGCAATTGCGCCAAGTGAGTCAGGTGTGAAGTCCCCCCGGGAATCTTATCCACAGTATCCAAGTTCCCTTCCTTCATAATGTCATTTCGTCGGTGAATCAGCAACTCAGTACGCATTTCTGCTTTGGTGACTTTTATACTTATTAAATGAGTCCACCAATAAAGCATCTAAGGTTCTTTTATGTTGAAATACTGCACGGGCGGCTTTTTGCCGATACAACGGTATCTTACGTATTGTTCGGCTTGTTGGTACCCAATGTGATTTCTGTCTCTTCGGCGATCATTCATTTCATACCCGATTTTTCACCTCACACTCTTACTCACAGGGTGTACTTATTTCAACGTCTATGCCTATACGTAATTCGTTCTTAATCATCGCAAGTGAACTTCTTCATTTGAATTGCTTCCTTCAGGTATTCCAGCTTATGAGCTCTAAATTGAAACTAATATTCCTATGCCAGACCTCGAGAGGAACTACGTCGGAGAACATATATAACAATAAAATCTAAAACACGATTTTGAAGATTGGCAGCTGTGTCAGATATTGTACATGCCGAGAATCTAAATAACATCGTACCGAAGGAAAGGATAGTCAGCTCTCAGTACCCTCATCCAATCACGTATGGCCGAGAACCACCTCTTTGGTTACAGTATCAGTCAGTAAGACCAAGAGTCGCCTCGAGTGCAGGATTAAACGTTATTGTTAGACAAATAAACGGCCCATATACTTTCAGAATAAACAACAATACTCAGCGTCTATTCACAATTTTCACGGCCTGTTTCGCTGTTACCGAACCAGCACTTCAGTGCCCCAATGACAACTGAAATATGTAGATAAGATAAGAAAGCCGGACAAGCTAAGCGTGGCCCTCTGTGGGCACCAGACCCTAAAATACTTTTCGAAAGCCAGGACCTTGGATCCATAGGACGTACTAGAACAGAAAGATTTATGCTGTGAAATGCCTCTAGAACTCCGTGTCCATGGAAGGTTTTTGAATCCTTTTCGCTCAGAAAATTGAAAGTGGATTTTTGGACCAACAATTGAGCAACAGAAGACTTTCTTGTTTCCTTTCTACATGCTATGTTCTTTGACGCGAAATTAAGGCTCTCTAGTTGACCAGTAAATTAAACCACGGCAGGAATCCATAAATACCCCGGAATTCATATCGGAAGGGGTCTTGATAAGAAGTTGGAATTTATTGAGGGGAGAATAAACAACCCGAAAGTTAACTTTCTGCAAAATATGTGCAATTTATAGCTAATGATGGAAGAAGGATGACAACAGAATTTTATAATCCTAAATAAGAGTGTGGCTTTTAGTGTGTTGAGATGACAATTTTTTAACTGCTTGATTAATAATGTGGGTGAAAAGCCCTGTCATAGCATGTGTAAATAATTAGTTCTTCATCAAGGGCTAGTTTGGAGGAGCAAAATTGATAGCACGGGAAACATAGAATAAAATGAAGCTAACTTTTGTTGTCGCATGACTGATTAAGTGGTGATCGCAACGAGGGTTACGTAAACTTAGTACTGAAGTTGGAGTGGTTAGTGGACAGAATTCGATAAGATTAAGACATTAAGAGTCTAGAAACCGATTGCGAATCATTCTCTTGATCGAAAGTGATGAGCTAATTTCTCTCACTCAACTTGTTTGAAACAACACATTTTGTTTTACAAATAAATATGACCGCAAACTGAGGGATTAGCCATGGAACCCCTCAGTCCCATCCTGGCTGATATCTACATCCATTATTGAATCAAATGGTTTGAAACTTTAAACTTCCCGGCATGGTTCCGCTACGTAGACGATACTTTTACCCTGTTTGAAGGTAATAAAGATGATTTAAATAAAGTTCTTTCAACAATGAATTCTATTGACTGCTATTCATTCAATTTTGAACTGAGACTTGCAATTCTCTTTCGTTTCTCGATCTGGTCACTAACACATCCAATTCAGTATAATTTTACGTAAACTTCATCGGTTGCCTCCACACTTTAAATATGTCATCCGACTAAACAAAAGTTAGCTTCATTTTATTCCTATGTTTTCCGTGCTCTTCAAGTTTGCTCCTCCAAACTAGCCCTTGATGAAGAACTAAAATTATTTAAAAGCAATAGCTATTGACAGGGGCTTTTCACCCAACATTATTAATCAAGCAGTTAAAAAATTGTCATCTCAACACACTAAAAGCCACACTCTTATTTTAGGAGATTATAAAAATTCTGTTGTCATTCCCTTCTTTCCATCAATTAGCTATAAAGTTGCACAATATTTTGCAGAAATTTAACTTTCGGGTTGTTTATTCTCCCATCAATAAAATTCCAACTTCTATACTCAAGGACCCCATTCCGGATATGAATTCCTGGGGTATTTATAGGATTCCTTGCCAGTGTGGTTTAATTTACATGGTCAAACTAAGAGAGCCTTAAAATTTCGCGTCAAAGAACATGAGGCATATGTTAGAAAAAAGGAAACACAGAGGTCTTCTGTTTGCTCAACATTGTTGGTCCGAAAATCACACTTTCAATTTTTCTGCTGCCAAAATTATTCAAAAAACATCTTCCATTGGAGAACTGGATTTTCTAGAGGCATTTCACATTCATAAAAATCTTTCTGTTCTAGTTAACGATCCTAATTCCAATCCAAATTTGCCTTCGGCTTTTAGAGAAATTATGTTTTAGTTCTGGTTTCGCCAACAGATGGCGCCACTTGCTTATTCTTGTCCAGGCTTTCTTATCTTATCTAATCATTATTTCCTATCTTGTTCATTTGCGGTTTTGCAGCTGAAGATGATGGTTCGGTAAAACCATCGAAACAAGTCCTGTGAAAATTTTGTGAATATAACGCTGATTTTTGTTGTTTGACTTCTGAAGTTATTGTTCTTTATAATGAATGTTAAAGTTTTGGCTTTAATGTTATGTATGAATGTTAAAGTATTTACTTTTTAATTTAAGTCTATTTTTATTTTACTTTGTTTTAAGTCCTTAGCTTTAATTTAAAAATAAAAGAAAAAGGGAGAAAAAAGTGCATATGATAGCAGCAAAATTAATTATTATAGATACATTATATTATTATAGATACTTAGAAATACATTTTTGTTTAAAAAGACAAAACAATTACAGGAAAAAAAAAATTGTATGTTTTACAAAAAAGGAAAAATAAACTTGAAAGATTTCGGATTTTAAATTACGTCCAAAGGGGTGTTTTTTTAACGTTTTGTGCGTTACCTTTATTTATTAAATATCACGTTGTACGTACTCAAACTATAAAATTCAGTTCAACACCAATATCGCAAGATAATTTTAAAATAAGCATTTCTTTAGAATTTCCGATACAATCTCGCGCGCTGGAGATAAAAATGCCCCACCGCCGTACAGTGTTGCTATTGCTCGCTTTGAAATCATTGAGTTTGCTAATCAAAAATTTGTTAAAGTGTTATAAAATATGAAATCGATACTAAGACATATTTCAAATTCAAATTACGGCTTTCACACGTCCATACTCTATGGAAGATTACGTTATTCCAATTTAATGGCTCTACGTACCGTTGTTTTATCGCAATACGAGAAATACACATGTTACGGTGAAACACCGAAATCTAGAGAATGTCGACTTTCACCGGTGAATGTCAACATTCACCTAGTCGCTTGGTGTATGTCCGAAATATTTTCCAAATACTCTTATTTTTGACTTAACATAGGTAAATGTCGACATTCACCATGTACTAATGGTGAATGTTGAACATATAAGAATATTATATTTTCTTCTCCATAATTCAGTCGCGAAAAAATGCACTTGAGACTTAAAATAAGAACTTAAAAAACACAGAACATTCAAAATGAGAAAAGAAAGTAATAGAAGTTAAAAACTTATTTCATTATACAGTACGTTCTAAATGAGAAAATAACATAATAGTAATAAAAACCATACTAAATTATGTGATTCAAATCTTATTTATTGCAACAACTTAAACTATTATGAAACTTTTTGACCTCTCTTTTCGACCGACACCAAAGCATATCTGTGATTGTCGACATACACCGGTGAGGGTCCGAATGTACAAGAATGTAATACAATATTCGATCTTTCACCGACGTATTTGGTGAATGTTGACATTCTCCGATGAAAGTCGACATTCTTCAACTTCGGTCTTTCGCGGTAACATACATCCATTCATGCAGATTCTTCATTATTTAATTTCTTTAAATACAGGGCGATAATATTTGGTGGCAAAAATTTGAAAATTGAAACAACGCTAATCGTGAAGCAACGCAAAATGCCAAAATGAAATTAATAGTCCTTCATCACAAACTGCCTCTTTGGACTAAAAGGTACAAAAATGTAACACAAAGATATAAACACACTTTTTTTTATGTTTTAAAAAGAAAATAAATTTTTGCACGTTTTACAGACTGGGGGAATGCAAATGACATCAGCAGAATTAATACCTGTAGAAAAAAATTACTTTTAAAAACAATTACAGAAATGTAACACAAAGACTTAAGCAAACTTTTTTTAATCTAAATATTTTTAAAAGCAAGTAAAATTTTTGCATGTTTTACAGACAAGAGGGGGAAAAAGTGCAAATGGTAACAGCAAAATTAATAATTGTATAGAAATCTTGAAAATACATTTTTTCTAAAAAAGATAAATCAAATACTTACCAGTCGATAACAACACATGATGAAAAGGGTGCTAACTGCAATATCCAGAAAAATCCAATTAAAGCATGGCACAAGTCCCGACGAAAAACATGAAGTAATATAAAAACAATTCTAAAGATTTCTCTTTTTTCAGGGACACGAAGTGAAATCGATATTTTACTACTACTTGCTGAGATTGAAATTAGAAATATGCATATGCCAAAGTCGATACTTCAGATTTTCTATTTGCTTTCTTTTCCCTCCCTTTAACATACCATTTAAGGCACCAGATGTGAAACTGCCTTAAGTAATTTGAATTGTTTTTATTTGTTTACACTGTCAAGTGTATTCTTTTACGATAGAAAAAGCTTCTGCTTATAGAAACTGCTAAGTTTCAAAAAGATTGATTTAGAAACATCAGTGATGATCCCTTTTGTTTTACTAGCAACTATAGACAAAGAAGCAACTACTACATCTAAGGCACTTTTGCAAGTGAAACTATATAAAATTTACTATCTTTTAAACTGGGTTTTTTAAACAGCAGATAAGATACGAGATAATTTCAAGATTAAATTTAAAAGCTTACGAACAATTGAAATGTTCTCTAGAAAATTCCATAAAATATTTTGAGACAATTACGAATGCAACATTCAACATTAATATATTTCACTTTTAAATTATTCAACTCTCAAGCTAAAACATTATTTAAATTACGGGTTATTAAAATATTTTTTTTTCCTTAATTCTTTTTATTTCCAAATATCACCCTTCATGGTACATTGCACCTGCATACAATTTGTGAAAATTTTGATCCTTGCGCTTTTACCAAAGATTTAAAAATCGCAAAATTTACGTTAGCAAATACTTAAAAATAGTTAAAATTTCAGACTTTTTTAGCACCAGCCGAAGATTAAGAAGAACTGATATTCTGAGCTTTGGAAAACAGATTCCTAAAGCCCCTGATATGTCTCGGTGATTTAAAATTCACCTGCGCAGCAAGATGTCTAAAAGGTGGAATGCCGGGAATACTTCAACAAGTTTCCAAAACATCTCAGTGATGTAAAGTGACTGAAAATTTTCCAAAGTTTCAGAGTCGTGTAATTTATGCGAAGTTGGAAGACACATATGCTAAGTTAAGCTCACAATGTGTCACAGCAGAAAAATAACTTCACTCCAACTCCAACTCCGTGAATATTCCATCAGACAGTCAATAAGAAAATAAATGTTCTGCACAGTCGTCGAGACTACCCCTTCAAAAACGCGATTCACTAAAACAAAAATTGTAGCCTCTACATGGAAGACTTATTAGCAAGTATAAACTACAAGTGGCTAACGTCCAAACGATAGTGGGGCGCAAAGGGGCGCCCGCATGCAGCTGCCACCTTTTCGCGACTGAACGGCTTCCAATAGCTTGATTCGAAATCGAGGAAAGGGTTCGCTGGCAGACAGCTCGCGCCATCTGTCGTCATGGCAAACAGTTTCACCACGAACTAAGTTATTTGAATATTAATTCATAATACGTAACAAATAAATTCTACCAAAGAAATAAGAACTGATGTTTCGGCATCAGAGCTGAAAATATTTAAATTTATCTTAGGAAAAATAATTTTAAAAACTCCTTAAATTTCATGATTTTTCCATTTGCGTATTTTTAACACAGCGTTTCCTCGTTATAACGCGTCTCGATATACCATGGTTTTGGATATTAAGCAAATACTGATTAAAAGTGCATGTAAATTATGTGATGCTCCGTATAATTCTTCTAAACATGTCAAATTACCAAGAATGCAGGGGGGACGGAGAGACGATATAAAAAGAAAAGGGAGTCTTACACGTCCTTACGTCGGAAGACAAGGATACACTCGCACAGTAGTTTTAAAGCCGAAAATTGGGATTATCAAGAACATACTACAAGGCATTTCTCCCACCTTCTTAGCATGCCTTCGGGGTGTAGTGGTCAGCACACTCGGCGCGTATTCGAGAGGTCAGTGGTTCGATTTCCGGCGAGGGCATTGCTCAATTTCATGTTTTCTGCTTCGAAATAACCTAATATCTCTACAATACAATTATGCGAAATCAAAAATGTGGATATACAGAAAAATACACAAGGCAAACGACAGCTCAAGTTTCAGGAAATATTAAAAAAATTACAAAATACACAAAGATAACGTGGTGGTTGATCTTTACAATATGGTAACTGGTAGTTTGGCGACATTTTGGAGGCGATAAACCTGGGACTTTGGTAATAATGTGAGCAGTACTCAGTTCCGATTACGCATTATTTTGCGTGAGGGAATGAGAGTATTGGGATGTCATGTGATATTAATGGACGAATCGGTTCTTTAATCGGAAAAGGGGGGAAATCGGGAAAAATGTGGAAATTTTGTATTTAGCTTTATTCTGTGTTGTGTGAAACAGGTTGTTTAATTTTTGGATCCCATGGCCCTAACTTAAGTGAATTCGAAATGGGTATTTAGGCATTGTGATAAGAGAAGTTTGCTTTTTATTTAGCGGAGGAAGTATGGAGGAAAATTCGCAGAAAAATCTTTCAATAATTTTATGAATGAATTAGAAAAGTGTATCCGCCACGTAATCAAGATTCTGAAGAAGATTAGGTAAGTTAGTATTTTAATTATTTGAGGATATTTTTATGCGTTGTTTCTAAATGTAAGGTGGAAGGAATTTGGTATTATTGGGAAATTGTTATTAGCATGATTTAGTTTTAAAAGTAATTAGGATTGTAAGGGTTTTTTTTTAATGTATGTGCTCATTTATATTTAAGTAGTGTTTTGAATTTAATTATTTTAATGCCCAATGATGTTATTTTGTGAATTTATGTTTGTAGGAATTTGTATAGTTTAAGTTGAAATAAACGTGCATGGAAATAATTTAAATATTTGATACTAAGTATTTGTAATGTTGCGGTATGAATTCGTTGGTGACGTGTATAATGTAATAGATGATTTAGAGGTAAAAGTTTTTGGATATTTTATTTATTTCATATGTGGAAATGTTCATATTTGTAAAGGTAAATACTTTTTTCGCGATCAGGTAATTTCATATATGTTCTTTTTACCGGGTTTAAAGATTGAGAAAATTGTCATGTATTTTCGTGAAATTTTTCTAATTTATTAGAAAAAAGCAGTGTACATGGATATAGTGAAGAGTGTGTGCGCAATGCCATTTTTTGTGCAATTCTGGGATGTTTTTTTAAGTAAAAATAAGTCGGCGTGTACATGGTTTATGTGTATGTGTTATTTTGAAAAACGCGTAAGGAGTAATGCTATTGTGCACTTTTTCCCAATTTTGCAGTGAATATTTGTCATGATTAAGCAGTTTTGTTTGATAAAATTTCTAGCATAAGTGTAATTCGGCTAGTAGATTGTTGGAAGAAGTGTTCAGTAGATAAAAAGAAAAGAAACATGTCTTTACTTCGTGAAGACAAAATGGCGGCGGGGAAAAAAAAATAGAGGTTGCTGTAAGAGAGTTGGTTACCAAATTTTCGCCAAAAAATCGCCAAGTTACCATAATGTAAAGATCAACCAACGTGGTTTTGATAGTCACACAGAAACATACATCGATCGTATGGATTTAATTTTGTGTTTTGTATTGCATTTTGTATTTTTCTATTTTATTTCCTGTCTCTTAGTTAAATAAATAAAAATAGTTTCGGAAGTTTATTATTAAATATACAAGTATATAGTATCCTCATGTAAATAGTATATGATACGTAGCATCCTCATGTAAATATTCCATGTTTTCCTGCCGAATACTTCATTTTCAATAAAACGCGGGTATCCTCAGAAAGCTGCTCTAATTCCAGCTATACCCACAACGTGCTAAAGAGGGAAACATCAGACAGCACAGAAATAACAGGTAAGAAAAGGTTTAAAAGAAAAAGTAGGCTTAGTATACACTGTGGCTAATATGCATGTCATACTTTTGAGAATTTTCATAAATGCACAATTCTAAAAATTATTCGTATTTGCCTACAGTAAGACCCCGCTTAACGCTGTTTCGTTTAGCGCTGTTTCAGTTTAGCGCTCTTTTTTTTTCAACCCGGGGATTGCTCGCAGCACTACGGGGATTCCCCGAAATTGTGCGCAGCGCTAGGTTTCCAAATAACATATCCGAAACAGTGTAGTTGCGTTTCTTGCTTGGTACGGTGCATTACGGACACATTTTTATCATTTGAAACATTTGTTGACTTTATTGTAAGTATAAATTTATATAATACTATAACGATTAATACAGTGACAAATATTATGATCTTTAGTTTTTATCATGGGTGATAATAAAAAAAAAGAAAAGAAAGCAACCAGAAAAAGCATTTCACTGGAAACTCAAATGCAAGTGATTAGAAGATTAGATTCTGGTGAACGTCAATCTGAAATTAGTGCTGCATTGAATTTGGCAACTTCAACAATAAGGACAATTCTTAAGAATAAAGAAAAAATACTGTCATCGGCAACTGCAGCTACGTCAAGCTCTGCAACTAGAATTAACTGTTCTAGAAATAACATTATAGAGGAAATGGGAAAACGACTGTCTGTATGGATTGGCGACGAAATTGAGCGCAATATGCCATTAAGCCAAACTATCATAATGCCAATTCAGAAGTCAAACAACAAAAATCAGCGTTAATTTACAAAATTTTCACAGGACTAGTTTCGATGGTTTTACCGAACCATCATCTTCAGCTGCAAAATTAATGCTGCTTCTGAATTAGTATTTATTCGGCGTGTTATTGTGTCTTTATCATAATGCCTTCTTGACAAAAAATCAGAAAACTGGAAACACAGAATAGACTGAATGATCTGACTGACTTAGAATTTTATTTGTTTTTATACGTATATTCGTTTATATTGTTTTATTTTTGTAAGAAATGAATGTTTGGTTTTATTTTTATTAAAAAACATTATTAAATTTAATAATTAACCAATTTTCTACCTATCTTCCCCTAACCCCATTATTTACATGTTAAGATAGCCTCGCTTAGCGCTGTTTCGCATTACGCTCTACTTTGATGGAACGTATCCCCCGCGTTAAGCGGGGTCTTAGTGTATATTAAAATTTAATATAAATCTCCATTATGGTTCTGCTAAGTATAATGTTTCTGCAGCTTTTTCAAACAAAAGCTAACATACAAAATAATTTAATATTGTTAGGAATTTAGTATGCATGTCAACAATTTTAGTGAAATTACATATACGAAACTGTAGTATTTTTGCAGAATAAGATCCTTGAAAAAGGGGAAGCTTTGTGGAAAAAATAAATTCACAGGGACAAGTCTATTTAACACTTGGCGAAAATGGCCATTTCCTAGATTGATGAGATACCACCGACGGCGATGGTCTTGGCGACTAAATTTTTTCGCCAAATTTGGCAAGAAATGGACAAAGTCGTCAAACATGGCGACAATTGGGCGACATTTTGATTCAACTGGAATGGATACCGTAATTGATCCCTATATGTAACTTTAACCTTATGTGCCTTCCAGTAATTAAGAGAATGGCAGGTATTAGAGATTTCTCGGTTGCCGGGGGGTAACCAAGACCGGAGAGATCATAGTTCTCAGTTTCAGTTCAGAGTCGACTTCGGAGTATTGAGAGATTTTTATAGACACTTTGCATTGCGTTGTGTTTAACTTTCTTAAGTTTAAGTTTGAAGTGATAATCACTGACTGTATTCTGTCATAGTGAGAATAGCTGTACAAGTATTTTGGGGGAAAGTTCCAGAACTGAAAAGTGTTTCATATGTGAAAATAAATTTTATCAAGGTATCACCGGTTCTGTGTGCATTCAATTCATTACGAACCCGTACGCACGTAACAATATACAGAGACATTCTTTGGACGATTTTGGTAAGCGGTAATAAAAACTCGTCTGCTGCAAAAGAAGTAATTGCAATTGAACTATGTTTTTAAAAGTCAAAATTATCGTCTGTGGCTTGAAAGTTTTGTTTTTATTCAAAATGGCGAATTTAACAAAGCAGTGGTTCGAAGGCTACATTTACGCTCTTTCCGAAGAAAAATATGCATACTCCGTTATCCAAAAACGATGTGAGAGTCATGGTTTTGCGATATCTAAAGCGTCGATAGGTAATATCATCAACAAGAAAGGAAACAAACGTCAAATTGGAGCCTCAAGTGGGACAAAAATTCCAAACAAATATCCAAGGAGAAAACGGACACCTTCGACTATTGCAAATTTACGTTGTTTAATGTTAAAAGAAAATCCCCCTAGTCAAAGGACAGTTGCAAAATCATTAAAATGCTCGGTGTCCACTGTGAACAAAATGATAAACATTGATTTAAACCTTAAGAAAGCGAAAAAACGTAATATGCATCGTCTTCTTCCA